ACATGAGTTTACCCGTTCTGTAAACAATGCTATCGCAGTCCTCACTAGATCTAGAGTTTCCAAAGAGAACAGCCTCAGACATAGCTTGTCGAATGGGTCCCTGAAGGAGAAGGAATGGTGGACGAAGCTAAAGTGCGCTTGTGGCGAGGGTCGGAACACTGACATTCCCCTGCTCGTTGATAGTGAAGGTTGCGAGAGGGCCACAAGTTATGAGAAATCGGAGGCTTTCGCACGTTTCTTTTCCCGCAAGTGCAGTGTGCAAGGCCGCGACCTTACCACGATGGACTTACCGGACACAGCATTCGCTGACGCACCTGCACTAACGACAGTCCACTTTCGCCCCGATGCAGTCCACCGGCTTCTAGCTCGCCTGGATGGCTCAAAGGCGACTGGACCCGACGGTATTTCCGCTCGTGTCTTGAAGGAATGTGCCAGAGAACTTGCCAAGCCACTGTGTAAGCTCTTTGCTCTTTGCTTCCAGCACGAAGTCCAGCCACAAATGTGGAAGACTGCCAGCGTGGTTCCAATCCACAAGCGATCTTCACGATCCGCCCTAAGGAATTGCCGTCCAGTTTCACTGCTGAGCATAATCTCTAAGATCATGGAGAGCGTTATCAATCGTCAGCTCATGAATCACCTTGAGCGTTACAAACTCCTGACACCCCACCAGTTCGGGTTTCGTCGCCGCCTCGGGACCTCAGATGCGCTACAGGCTCTACACCACGCCTGGATCACAGCCGTCGGCCGAGGCGGTGCAGCACGTATTCTAGCCGTGGATATTGCCGGAGCATTCGACCGTGTGTCCCATGCTGGCCTCCTCCACAAAGTCCGCCATCTTGGCATTGGCGGCCCCCTGCATACCTGGCTCTCTTCCTACCTAGGTGGACGGTCCATTCAATGCTTGGTGGGCGGCCAAACCTCATCGCTCTATACCATATCAGCAGGAGTTCCCCAAGGGAGCATACTCGGCCCTACACTCTTCCTGATTTACGTGAACGACGCCTCAGAGACCCTGTCACCCGGAGCCCACCTGGAGGCGTACGCCGACGATACTACCTTGTATAGCCTGATATCCCTCGACACATCCCCAGCCGACGCCGCATTGAGCCTCCAGACTTCTGTTGATCGCTTGCATCAGTGGGGCCGCAGATGGCGCATCTCCTTCGAACCGTCGAAGTCCCAAGCCATGACCGCCACTCTCCGCAGAACCCCCATCAATTTGCCTCGCATTGTCTTCGGCGGCACTCCTGTCCTTGAGGAGAAGGCTCTCTCTTTACTTGGAGTAACCTTTGACTCGAAGCTGTCATTCAGCACTCATCTCCGGAAGGTTGCCACTCGAGCCAAACAACGCCTGGGCTTCCTGCGCCGTGCAGCGCACATTCTCTCTCCAGCCGGCCGCACCACAGTATACAAGGCATTTGTTCGACCAGTTATGGAGTATGCCCCCCTCATCTGGATAGGTGCTCCGCCCAGCTACCTGCAACGCCTGGATCATATCCAACGCTGTGCTCTGCGAATCATCGGTCCAGGTGCACTATTACCTAGCCTGGCCATCCGTCGTACTGTTGCCTCGCTTGCCTGCCTATACAAGCTGCATTACCTGCCTGGCCCTCCGCAGCTGCTCTCTGTTTTGCCACTGCGCCATTTCCCCTCATCTAGCCCCAGAACTCGCAGCGAGCATGGTAGCGTCATTGGCCATGACCACCAGCTCCAACACCAGCTGCTTGCATCTGTCCCGCTGGCATTAAAGCGCTCGTTCCCACACTGCAGTATTAGTGACTGGAACTCCCTCCCCGCCGCTCTTCTGTCCCAGCCTCCCCACAGCAAGGGAATGCAAGCATTCAAAACTAATGTTTATCGCCATCTGCGAAGCACAAACTGGCTCTGGGCAGTCGACTCGCTATGATGATGCTCTCGTCGCTCTCCTCTATCCCTATCTATGCACCACAACTGGCTCAGACAACCAACTCGCCATGATCAGCCATGATGATGCTCCTCTCAGTAACAGGCCTTGTAATTTGTTAATAGTCTCACAGTTTCTCCCGCACACTCGCTGGTGTTAACCCTTCCTTTCTTTTCATTTTGCTGACTCGTACAGCTCTATCTTTTGTTTTTGGTGCGTGTTTTTGGCCGTGATGCCGAGACCTCAGGTCGGCAGAGCCATCGATGCCCCACCATCACTGCTGCGTCTTGGTGCAGCCCCTGCTCAATAGTTGTCACGTTCGTCCTAGTCTCAGTATCATTGTCTTTCTTTATTATTTTCGAGCTGGGAATGTGAACATAGTAAAAAAATAATAATAATAATAAATAATAATAATAATCAAGTGCGACTTATAATCAAGTGCGACTTATAATCAAGTGTGACTTATAATCAAGTGTGACTTATAATCAAGTGTGACTTATAATCAAGTGCGACTTATAATCAAGTGTGACTTATAATCAAGTGCGACTTATAATCAAGTGTGACTTATAATCAAGTGTGACTTATAATCAAGTGTGACTTATAATCAAGTGTGACTTATAATCAAGTGTGACTTATAATCAAGTGTGACTTATAATCAAGTGCGACTTATAATCAAGTGTGACTTATAATCAAGTGCGTGTGTGATCGTGTGTATGTGTGTGTTTGTGTGCGAGCGTGCATGTGCGTGTGTGTGTGAGTGTGTGTGTGTGTGTGTGTGTGTGTGTGTGTGTGTGTGTGTGTGTGTGTGTGTGTGTGTGTGTGTGTGTATCAATTCATCAGCCTCGCAAGGTGTTGAATGGTGTAATCCCAGCACAAGTTGCTATGACCACCATAGCTGTTCGCTATCATCGCTTCCGCAAAGGTCAGGCCTGAGGTCTGACGTCTGAGGTCTGAGGTGGTTGTGTGTGTTTGTGTGTGTGTGTGGTGTGTGTGTGTGTGTGTGTGTGTGTGTGGGTGTGGGTGTGGGTGTGTGATGTTATTGTTGAAGTTTATTTAAATGTCTGTGTGTGCATAGCGTCTACATGTATATGTCTTTGTGTTGGTGTTAGTGCGTGCGTGTCAATGTGGGCTGGGTATGTGTGCCTGGGTGGGGTGTTAGCTTTGGTGGTGTGTTAGCTTGAGTGGGGTGTTAGCTTTGGTTGGGTGTTAGCGTGGGTGGGGTGTTAGCGTGGGTGGGGTGTTAGCGTGGGGGGGGTGTTAGCGTGGGGGGGGGGGGGTGTTAGCGTCGGTGGGGTGTTAGCGTTGGTGGGGTTTTTAGCGTGGGCAGGGGGGTGCTTGGGTGGGGTGTTAGCTTGGGTAAGGGTGTTAGCGTGGGTGTGGGTGTGGGTGGTGGTGGTGGGGGGGGGGGGGGGGTGGTGTTCGTGTGGGTGGGGTGTTCGCGTGGGTGGATGCGTGCATCCACATGCAAACGTTTCCAATATTCAAGGTGGAAATGGTCATACTTCAAGTGCTTGTTCCGGTGTCGAAGGTCGATTCCGGGACGTTCGGCGGTGGTACCTTTTTTGGGTACGGTGAATAGGCTGCTCTCAAACTGGTCGGGAGGTGGGCTCACCGGTCGAATTGCACCTTTAGATAAGAGTGCTCTAGTTCCTGGTGTACGGTGGTGCATTTTTTGGTAGGGAACCGCATCTCTGTCGGAGTGAACCTCTGGCAAGGAACGGTGTTTCCGTAGATACGAGGCCATGTGCGAGGGAGGAGACACCACACAGAGTCGTCCACCAACCCCTTAGGGTCGAAGCCCACGCCGCCAGCATTAGCTGTACTACCGCTACCAAGGCAATGCTCGTGGGCAGCCGAGTCGTTGGATAACGGACATGTGCCACTAGGACAGGCAGAGTCACTACCTGACATACCAGAGCTAGTACTATTGCTAGTCCAGGTGGAATCCTGATAATTCGAATATGGCTTAGTTCGAACATACCGCTTAATTAGAAGTTTTTCCAGGACCGATTTCTGTCAATACGATTCCCACATATAATGTTCTGATAACTCGAACCTCGAACTGGATATGTCCGGTTAATTAGAAGTTCCACGGATTCCACTTACGTAGAAAATGTGTGGGATTTGTGCTGATAATTTGAAGTTAGCAAAGTGTAATTCGAAGTTCACTGTACATTGTACTGGTCAGTTCAGTTTGCATGAGCAGGCTGTGCCGGTCAGTTCAGTATCCTTGAAATCTGTGTCTAAGGTCCATAGCGCAACTCTGCGTGACCATGAGAGCATTTTGACATACATGTACATAATTATTGTGTTCTGACCTGTGGCAGCTACATGGCCGTACGGTGTACCATAACAAAACTCATTGACTAACATATTTTGTGAAAATATTATCCTGTAAAAGAATAGGAATGTAAACAACATACCTGTGAAAACGCAACCTTTAATGCTACTAACACAGTCTGTGACTACAATAATCATGACATCAACCCCAAAACATTTCTTGCAGTTTACTTTCGTAGAGTTTGCAACTTTGTGTTCCTCAACACAACTTACTTGCAGCTTTCTTCAAAAATATCCTCAACCTTGGTTCTGTCCTAGATCGTATATACATGCATTCATTGTTTCGTCTCATCATTATGGAGCAGCTTATGCGAAGGCTAGCCAAGCTTGCTTAGCGATGCCAACGCCGAAAAGCCTATAATACAAATAATCATATTGTGTTCTGGGTTCATGTTTGGATAATGGCGCACTAGCCAGTGGCTAGAGCGTGTTAGCGCCGCATGAACACCTGCCAGCTGGCAGCTTGATTACACTAATCAATCACGCAGATTCACGTAGCTAATCAGTAATCTACAGCGCAGCTCCGAAACCGCGCCAAGAGAGGTTGCAGCTCACACCTCGTATTTCTTCCGCTCCAAACTTTTCCCACGTGCCTTGCTTTGAGTGTTGCCTTTGTAAAAGTAGAGTTCGCTGCTGTTGCCTGGCTTTCACAGTTTTGCTCCTTGCTTTTTCTTCAGCTCCTAGCTTTTCCTCGCTGCCTAGCTTTTGCAGTTTTGTCTGTAGCCTCGTAGCTGTTTCTTCTTGAACATCGCATACGATGAGTTCAAATCAGTTGTTGCAGAGATTGCGTGTCGCCGAGCTGCGTGAACAGCTCGAAAAGCGCGGCCTAGACCCATCTGGCACCAAATCGGTCCTGATAAACCGACTCGAGGGAGCCGTAGACGAACGTGAAGACTTCGTTCCTGCTACTGCGGCTTCTGTTGCTGTCACGGAGGACCCGGATAATTCGGGTCGTGACAACTTTCAGCAGGAACTGCGGCGTATGGTGCGCGAAGAAGTATCAGCTGCAATCGGCACAGCGTTGTCGGGAGCACCAGAGGCGGCCTCTCAAACCATGGCAACTGTCACCCTGTCCAATCCTGCACCTTCTATCCCCGGGTTGAGCTCCATTGCATCTGCGCCGGCGGCTAGCAGTACCGAAACCTCGGCAGCAGCTCACCTCCTCGTGCCCAAGTCACTGCAAGATCGCATCGTGAAAGGTGAGTTCATTGAGCTGAACTTACTGTTGCCAGAGGGGCTAAGCAATTTTGTCTCTCAACCTGAATCCCGCTCGTTCGAGCTTCGAACCCCCAATCAGTCTGGGGGAAGTAAGCAGTCGCTGGAACTGGTTGAAACCAGCGACGGTCGCCAAGTCAAACGGCGAGTACACGACATCGCAACATGGCTAGAGGCATGGACCTTGTACACGGGGGTTGTCTGTACTCACGCACCACACCGTCTCCACGAATTGTTGGCGTACCAGTCCATCATCCTCAAAGCCAACCGCCAGTATCTGCCAGCTGCTTGGTTCAGCTATGACCAGCAACTTCGGTTGTCAGCCTCGCTCCAGCCAGGCAAGCGCCTTGACATTATCGACAACAATCTGTGGCAGCTATCCGTCACAGGTAAGGCCAGACCAGCATGTCCAGTATGCCACACTGTGCACCCTCCGTCCAGTCAGTGTCCTTTTCGTCCGAACAGAAGCCCCCAGCAGTATCAGCACGGGTCCACGCTCACCCGTTCTGAGAGCGGCCGAATCATCTGCCGTAACTTTAACTCCGGCCAGTGCCAGCACAAGTCGTCCTGCCGCTTCCACCATGTCTGCAACACATGCGGCGGCAACCATTCCCGCCAACAGTGCCCCAAGGCTGGGACCAAATCCCGAACCACTTCTCAGTAAGGTCCGCACCTCCGATAGTTTGCCTTCAGCCAGTACTCTCCACGCTTCCACATTCCGCTCACCTTTGCATGTTACCCGCTTTTCTTCCTTGCTATCTACCCACCCAGACCCACAGTTTTCACCATATGTTCTGCATGGCTTGCATCATGGCTTCGATATTGGCTTTTCAGGTGATCGTACTGTTAACGTTAATTCTCCTAATCTCCCTTCCGCTGAACACGCTCAGTTTATATCAGACCAGTTAGCTGCCTCCTGTAGTCGAAGGGAAACTGCTGGCCCCTTCACTTCACCCCCTTTCTCGCATATGCATTGCTCGGGCGTCGGTGCAGTGCCAAAGAAAAACGGCAAAATGCGCATGATCCACACCACCTGTCTAGCCCACTCGGGACGGCATACCTACTGATATATTCTCGCTGCAATATGTTACTATTGATGATGCCATCAATATGATTATGTCTTTACCCCCTCCAGTTTACCTGTCAAAACTGGATGTCAAGAGCGCCTTCAGGCAGATCCCAGTACGCATCGAAGATTTCCCGCTGCTTGGTATTTTTTGGCAAGGCCGTTACTATTATGAACAAGTGCTCCCTTTTGGTTTGCGCTCTCGTCCCTTCATTTTCAACACCGTTGCTGATGCTATTGAATGGATCATAAAGCATCATTTCTCCATAAGTGATCTTTTGCATTACTTAGATGACTTTCTGAACGCCGTTTCTAGCCTTTCTGTTGCTAACCGCCAGCTGGCTATCTTGCTCCGCGCATTCATGCTCTTAGGCGTACCCCTAGCCCCAGACAAGATAGAAGGCCCTGCTCAGTGTCTTACATTTCTTGGAATAGAGTTGGACTGCGTTTCCAAGCAAGCCAGGCTCCCATCCGACAAACTGACTGAGCTCAGATCTCTGCTTACTGCCACCCTCCAGCGTAAGTCTATTTCTCAGCGCAGCCTCGAGTCCCTTTTGGGGAAGCTCTCCTTTGCAGCACGGGTGGTCACCCCAGGGCGCACATTTCTTCGACGGCTCTGGTCGGTGTGCAGCAGGTATCAAGAGCCCCACTACAAGATAGTACTGGACTCTGCTGCTATGGAAGATATCAGGTGGTGGCAGCACCTGCTGCAACACTGGAACGGTAAATCGTTCTTCTTGCACCCCAACTGGACTCCATCGCCAGATCTACAACTCTATACAGACGCAAGCGGTTCACGTGGCTGGGGAGCCTACAACAACGGCCGGTGAATCAACGGCGCTTGGACCCGAGAAGAAGTGGAGAGAGACATCACTTGGAAGGAGCTGTATGCCCTGCTAGTCGCTTGCGCCACTTGGGGCCATGCTTGGGCAAAGCTCCGTATCCTTATTCACTGCGACAATGCTGCAGTCGTGGACTGTGTAAAGTCGTGCAGTAGCAAATCAGCCCCAGTGATGCAACTACTCCGCGGACTTTTCTTTGTCTGCGCCAAACATAACTTTACCATTTCGGCCATCCATATTGCAGGGAACAAGAACCTGATTGCTGATTCTCTGTCACGCTTCTCTATGCAGGCATTTCGGCGGCTCGCTCCCAGCGCCAAGAACCTGCCGGACAACGTGATATGGCCCCAGTACATGGGGAAGTAAGCTACTACGCTGCATGCGCCATTGCCCCGAACACACGGCGCACCTATTCGACCGGTGAGAGCAGATATAGTGCTTACTGCCAGTTGTGCCTCTGGAAACCCTTCCCAGCTACTGACTATCAGCTAAGTTGCTTTGCCGCATTCCTCGCTCGCTCAGTAAGACCATGTACTATCTCTGTGTACCTCAGTGCGGTGCGCAACGCCCAAATTGAACAAGGCTTGGGTGATCCCCTGGAAGATGCCTGGCTGCTGAAACGAGTAGTAAAGGGCATTGGACGGTGCCATGGCACAGCTGTTATCACACCTCGCCTTCCTATTACCATGCCTGTGCTCCGCAAAATAATGGATGCGTGCCAGTTGACGGAACTACTCAACCGACATGACCGTCTGCTGTACCAAGCATGTATGCTGCTTGCATTTTACGGCTTCCTTCGCTGTTCCGAGTTTACAGGGGAGACTCGGAGGACTGATGCTCGACTCGCAGACGGCAACATGCAGCTGTTCCTGCCAAAGTCAAAAACAGATCCACTGGGCAGTGGGGTCACAGTGTTCGTTGGCCGAGCCACGCAACCGTACTGCCCCGTAGCAGCGATGACAGCATACCTGCTCACTACCCGCCATCATCCATCCACTGGGCCACTGTTTGTGCTCTCAGATGGACAGAAGCTTACTCGTGCGGCATTTACCACCACTGTACGTTCATTGCTGGCAGCATCTGGCGTGCCAAACCTGCACCTGTATTCCGGGCACTCGTTCCGCATTGGTGCTGCTACGACAGCCGCAATGGCCGGTGTGCCCGACTCTCTGATCCGCGCCGCTGGAAGAGTGATGTATGTTTGCGGTACATGCGTATGCCAGCATCCCTTAAAGGGGAAGTGCATCGATTTTTCAAGTAGGGCTCAGATGAAAGACAATTGGATATCGGTTCCGATGGTATATCTCTCGCTTGCGTACGGCAAGGGAAACTTACAATATCGCCGATTTCCTGATCCCGTTTCCATGGCGACTACAGGTGATGACGCACATTCTGCTTAGCTCCGTGAGAGAGAAGGTCGATCACTGCAGAATTGTGTCATTTTCAGTTGTCTTCTTGTATTCACGAAGTGAAAGAAGTACTGTGTTCAATGCTGTTAGTGCCGTGAACTGTTTATTAGTAGTCCTCTCCGTTGTGTACTGGGACGTGACACCGACAGGGGAAAGCTGGAGTGCGGAGACGTTAGCTGGCAAGCGAAAATCGTGACGAACCAAGTGCTGAAATCTTGGTTGGGACAAATGAAACGTTCAGCATTTACCTCAACCAAGGACCATGCCGTTTGCTCTTTCCACTTCCTGAAGATGGATGCGCTGCCTGCTGGAGACTCTCCTATCTCTCGTAACATCTTCTGAAGCCAGGTGAGACGACGAGTAGCGGAGATTAGCGAACGAAATAATGTCGTATGTTTTGAAATTTTGCTGCTCAGGAGAGATGGCATTATATGAACTTAGTCCATGTGAACTCAATCAGCCCATGAACTAACCCATGAACAAATGCTTTCCTTGCAGACGTGCATGTGTCTATCCAATCTACACGTAGAGATCATTCCATGCCCTCAGTGAATGGCCTATTTATATATTATTTGTCCATACACTTCATCTGCATGTTGTCTCTATGGAGAAGGATATTGTTCATTTCATATGAAGAAGTTCGGGCAATAGATGCTTTCCTCTGGTACAATTCTGTTGACCTGATGTTCTTTCTAGCTTCATGGGTAGCTTAGGTGAGGTACCATCACCATCATGTTTACATGAGGGTCAAACACTGCACCGTTCTTTGTTGTGACATGACGCAAGTTATTGTAAGTGCTCGCAGACTCCATACATTCCAGCAACACCTAGCATGGTTTTCCGTCAACGTTGTGGGTGAACAAATTCCTGTCCAACATAATTATATTTATACAGACATGCCAGCACACACCATGCGCCATACACACACTTGCCCTGCCCCGTCGAGTCACAGCCACGTGGGCCCGGAGGGGCAGTGGAGAGAGAATGGGAGAACGCCGCCCCATGGCGCCCGGGACACAAAAACAAGAGTTTGTCCGGCTACATAGGGAGCAACACACATAAATACACCACACACACACACACACACACACACACACACACACACACACACACAAAATGAGAGTTCGGGTCATCTGCCACGAGACTGACGTACGGCCGGGGAGAGCTTCAGCAGCGGTGTCTATTCCTGCCCTGGACCGAACGGAAGCAGCGGTCGCGGGACACACAGTATTCACCACAACACGGCTCCACTGTCGTTGGGGGCTGAGCCACACACTTGTGACGGGCAAGAACGCCACAGCGATCACACTGGCATGCTCCACGCTGCTCCTGCACACACTCTCTCTCTCTCTCACACACACACACACTCACACACACACACACACACGCATACACACACGTGCGCACATACTGCAAGAAAGAAAGAGAGCATGAGTGTCAGATTCTTGCATAGGAAGTGTTTATCAGCACACACTTATACATGCACATGCAGGCACTCAACGACCAACTATGCACCATGCCGTATGTTCGTCAAACATAAGATTGCAATACCAAAGAACAACATAAACAAGATCACATACTTCGTTCTCCTCCAAGTGTGTCCTCCCCAGCCATTTCCCTAGGCGGAATGTAGCCTACGAAATGGTTTCTCTAGACTAGGAGAAGATGCTTGGTATTCGCCATCTCTCCTGAGAAATGTTCCAGCAAAAATTTCAAAACATACGACATTATTTCGTTCGCTAATCTCCGCTACTCGTCGTCTCACCTGGCTTCAGAAGATGTTACGAGAGATAGGAGAGTCTCCAGCAGGCAGCGCATCCATCTTCAGGAAGTGGAAAGAGCAAACGGCATGGTCCTTGGTTGAGGTAAATGCTGAACGTTTGATTTGTCCCAACCAAGATTTCAGCACTTGGTTCGTCACGATTTTCGCTTGCCAGCTAACGTCTCCGCACTCCAGCTTTCCCCTGTCGGTGTCTACTACTAATAAACAGTTCACGGCACTAACAGCATTGAACACAGTACTTCTTTCACTTCGTGAATACAAGAAGACAACTGAAAATGACACAATTCTGCAGTGATTGACCTTCTCTCTCACGGAGCTAAGCAGAATGTGCGTCATCACCTGTAGTCGCCATGGAAACGGGATCAGGAAATCGGCGATATGGCAAGCTTCCCTTGCCGTACGCAAGCGAGAGATATACCATCGGAACCTAATAGCAAAGTCACACCTTAGTGGATCCAAAATAGAAATCTGATGTCAATTTACTACTCCCAGGACGTTTTTGACGTCATCACTTTCAAGCCCTATCAGGGCTTGAAAGTGATGACGTCAAAAACGTCCTGGGAGTAGTAAATTGACATCAGATTTCTATTTTGGATCCACTAAGGTGTGACTTTGCTATTGCCTCAGTATGTGGGTGCATAGCAACCCACTCATGTCGTATGCAGGTGCAACTTTTACTTCGCCACCAGTTGTCACCCCGCCCCCACTAGCCAAATCAGTCAGTTTCACTTGCAACATCACCTTGCTGTGAGTGAGACCGCTTGAAATGTGCTTGGATCCATACAAAAACTGGATCCAGGTGGATCCAGTTTTCGAATTTTTCAAATTGTTGCTATGCCATTGCTATGGAGTGACGTAGCACTTTCAAGCCCTAATTCATCTGAGCCCTACTTGAAAAATCGATGCACTTCCCCTTTAAGTACAGTGTGTCGTCACAGCTTGCAAAGGTTAGCCATTTGGTCTGAATTTTGGGCTAGCAATTCTAAATATTTACGTGGTGTGCTGGATTCGCGGATGTTCGCTCACAACTGGTTTGCCCTGTTTGCTTGCTTGCGACTCAGTTGCAGAGTCATTGCCTGTTCGCGACTCAGCAGAGTCTTTTCGCGTTGCGACTCATTTGCCGAGTCACGTGACATTGCACCAGTTGTTCGAATCCAGCACTCCACCTATCCAATTTAACTCAACCAGACTATTCTGTGTGTGCTCGTTCATGCGTGTGGGTCCGCATGCACCCGCATGGACATGTCCGGCTGTGTGAAGCACGGGCTAATTAGAATGTCCGGATAATTAGAAGTTTTTTCTGGCATTTCGAGGTTCGAATTATCAGGATTTCATCTGTACTAGTTGTATCCCGGTGTGGCGTGGAGAAACGGTGCGACTCGGTGCCGTCTGGGTGACCAACGTGGCCCCCGCACACTCAAACGGGCCCCGTGTGTAGCACGCGAGCGTGACACAGACCGAGATCTAGATCTATGTGTACGTAAAGTGTGTACGTGTATGTGTACGTGTATGTGTACGTGTATGTGTATGTGTAGCAACAGCCGATCTACTTCTTGTACGTTCATGTGAAGCAGAACGAAGGGGAGATCGTGAGTGAGATCGAGAGTGAGATCTGCATCTGTTCCGTGAGCATGATCCAGAGCTAGATGTAGACCGAGCATGTAAATCACGTCACACACATATATCAGTGAAGTCACCCCTAATACGGTCCCGGCAGCCATGGCTGCAATGGAGGTCCGTGGAAAAACCGAGGCTGGCAGAACGACGTTCGGCCAAAGAAACAAAACGAAAAGGCTTCCCACCATCCACCCGAGGGTCAGGGTCCCCTTCCCTGGTGGAAGACTTCCGAGCCTCCTCCCTTTCTTGATCGCCAGAGGCTGCAGTGGTGCCGCGACCAGTTTCTATTATGCTCGTGGGTGCGGGATAGAACACAATCATTAGCCAGCCAGATGACTCGGACAACCCCGCCCCCCCCCCCCCACACACACACATGGATGCATAATACTATCCACAAGAGTGTGTGCTGTGCCGGTATAACAGGAGCCAGGTAAAAACCTTTCTCCGTCATACCACACACAATGTTAACCCATGCACAATGCCAGTGATTGACATTCATGTGAATCACTCCACGTGTTCTTCACAAACAAACATACAGTCTGCATACCGGTGCACTGCACACAGCCAACTGTCAGTGTAATTCAGGAAACACAGAAGAGACAAGGAAATGGAGTGAAAACATCGTGTCAGTACAAGACACTCAAAATAATATTTTTGTATTGCAGGCAGTGTTATCAGCATGGCAGCGCTCAAGAATTGAGAAAAGATTGAAAAGTTTTTGAAAATTATCTGCTATATAGACAGGCACCACTGGCAAGGAAAGCGCATACGGTCAACTCCGTGTTTGGCCTGGGCAAGAGGAAAATGGGCTTTGCACTGCCCCGTTATAGGCAAGCAGATAACTGTAGCGGCTGGAAAATCAAGTTTTGTACAAGAATAGAACACAGTGCTCACGGCCAGAGAGAATCTGTGCCGGGGCTGGTGCTGGCTATAACCATGGCAACTGTACAGTGTCATAGTAGCAACCAACGCCCTATTACCAGAGTTAAATCTCCTGGAGAGCACATTCAGGATCATCTACCAGCGGCTGGAGCTCGGACACCAACCTGCTGTTATCCCCATACTCTGGAGTGAAGAAGAGCGTACTAAGCTGGCTACACTGGCGAACAGCCTGTACGAACCGGGCTAGTACACGTCGTTCCTCCGATCTAGGACCATACGTGAAGGTGTATCCGTTGACATACAGTATTACCAGGTTCCTGTTAGAATGGAGAATTTCCAGAATGGACGTCAGCGGCACATCAGCACCGAGCTCACTGAATAACTGGGGAAGTGAAACAAGCCGCAAATTCCTACATGAACTCAGCGCTCGGCAGACCAAAGCAAAGCCGTCAATGCCGACTTCATCCTCATCTAAATACACTTGCTCCAGGCTGGACGATGCGCACAAAATGGCTGATGAAAAGACATTACCATCGGTACAGCGATTCCCATGCAAAGAGAGCACACGTACATGTGTGTAGTGTGCCAAGCCATTAAGAATGCAGCGCATAGCAGTGCTGGATAAGAAACACCAACCAAGGCGCACTTCCTGCACGTCCACACAAAAATGGGTTGTGAGGAAATGAGCAATGGCAGTGCAATCTAACAGGCTGAGGCTCACACCACTAAAATTCAGAGAAAAGACCTGAGAGAAGAATGAACAATGGCCATTACAAGATGACGTACCTTGATACTGGCAGTGCTCTAGATAAGCTACTAACAAATCAGCTAGGCAACGGCGTTCTCCCTCGTCACTGAAAGCAGGTGTAGGAGGCCGTATGGGTGCAGCAGTAGCAGCCGGGGCAGCTCCAGGTGCCGATGGTGTCGATATCTCCGATGTTGCGCTTGTCATCGAATGCTGCTCACAATGCGATGCAGTCCCGGGATCCACTTTACGTACAGCCGACAGGAACACCTCTGCACTCGCCTCCGCTGCCTCGTTCTTCCATACGCTTACAAGAGTATCCAGGTACAAGTCGTCCGTCAACTCCCTGCCTCGTGGCAGAGCATTGTCGACACGCTGACGACCACGTCCTTGCCCGGCGGTGCCAACCAGCAGCTGATCGGCGAGCTCTTTCATCTTTTCAACTGACAGCGTCGATTTCAGCACCGCATGGATACGGTCCACGTCGTTGCTTTGCTTGGTTGGCTGAGAACGGCTCACAATGTCGTCGAGCAGGCGTGTATCAGTCTGGCTGCATGCACGTTGTGTACGGCCGCCGTCGCAGAATATCCGCCACAGATGCTCCATGATGGCGACTGCGGGCTTTGGCGGTGTGAGCGCGATCAGGAAACGCCAGAACATGGTCATGTGACCGCTGTAATGGCCGACTCTCCTCACCAGCCACGCAGCGTCGTTCTCGTCGTTCAGCATCTCGCTAGACACGTACCAGGCCGCCAAGAACTCCTGAATGGACAAGTGAGCAAATCGATATTGCCGGTCTTCTGTTGAGCTGGTGCTCTTGTAAGCCATCAGCAATCCTAATTCAATTGCAGGCGCGCTGAGTTGTGCCGAAATGACATCCTCCTCGTTGAACACCATCTTTTGCTGAGCTAGCATAGAGAGTGCAAAACCGGAAAGCTCCTTCAACACTTCAACTTCGTCCGTCTTGATGGCGGAAAGCGTCTTGTAGCGTTTGCCCGCACGTCGTTCCATGACACGGCGGACAAGCAACTCGTACAGTCCTGTACTGGATTCCGGCAATTTACTACCGTCTCTGTCGTCCATGAACAATTCACAAGCCAGCGCAGCAAACAGAGGTGTACCCATTAGCGACATTGTGCCCTCTTGTGAGCGGAGCTGCTCCAGCATAGCCTCGCCTTCCACACCGCCCACCACTTTCTTCACATACGTTGCAACGTTGTCTGGTGAGAATCCAACCACCTCCACTTGCTGTTGATACTCTCCACACTGAGACAGGGTATGAGCATCAGTACATGGTCGAGACGTCACCACCACATGCATATCACCACTACGCCTTCTCAACAGTAGATCACGCATGTATTCACTGCAGTTCTCCAACTTGCACTCATCCAGCCCGTCTAGCACAATGCAAAGACGGGACTGGTTGCTGCGAAAGAACCGGGACATCTCCAGCAGCTCATCTGTCTCCACATCCAGACTGGAGAATCGACGTGCCAGCAAGTCGCACAAGCTCGTAGCAGCTTGCACCTCGGCACGTCGTAATTCCACTGCCAATACCAGATCAAACTTTCCACGCCACAGCTCACCTTTAGACCAGAGGTATTCCAGCATGATCAGAAAGATCGTGGATTTGCCACAGCCAGCGCTTCCATACGCTAGGACATTATTCTTGTTCTCTTCCACGGGTTTCTTGGCAGGCGGCTCCAGTAAACCCGAATCAGCTACCTCATGGGCACAGCCCGGGCGTGGCGCGGCCCCCTGATTGCAAGACCGCTCGCTGGTAGCGGAGAAAATATCTTCCAGTTCAATGCCACGCTCGGCCGTAGCGACCCTTCGCGGCTGAGCCTCGGAGAACATTTTCAACTGGCGTGCTCGTTCAGAACCAGACGAAAAGAACGATGACTCGTTACTGAAAAGCTTGGAAAGTTCGTCCTTTGTCAGCAACGTCAAGTTCACAAAAATGTCTTTCAATGGGATTTTGGCATCGCTGGCAAGTCCACCGCTAATCTGAATGCCAGCCTTCTCAACTGCCTTAGCCAGCAAATCACGGGCAGTTCGGACCGAAGCTGGCAACTTCTGCTCGTCGGACGCCATGGGTCACCGACTAGTTTGTGTCCAAGTAGCTGCAAGGAGCACCAGGCAACAACGTTGTGCAAGGAGACGCTACAAGTATTTTTACTTTGCCTGCGTGATAGATGATTGTACGAATCCTGGGTGGTCGGTGTGCGAGGAGGTGACGGTACGTGTTTAGCTCAGAACTATCCTCGGACTTTGTAGTTGTTGCGTTGTTTTTCCACCGCTACAAATCATGTATTTTGTGAAGTCCTGTTGTAATGCTATGGTGGTAGGTAGATCTACATGACATGTACGTGGTGGTGATGGGGGGGGGGGGGGGGGGGGGGGTAGATCCACAACGGCACAAGAAGAAACCCTTCAACACACTGCATGCACTGTACTGCACTGTAAAATGAGTGAAAAATCTCATTTTCGAAATATTAAATTATTTTTATTTCAGTGCTGTCTGATCTTGCGTGCCATACCCCGCATATGCGCATATGCACTGATCTAACTACAGTCAACTTCGCGAATAACGACACTCGGCGGGGCATCAGAAAAATGTCCTTATTCGCGAAGTGTCCTTATACCCGAAGTCCCATTTGAATGTATGTGAACTCGAATTTTGTATAGTATGACATGCATATCAAAATGGAGCTCTTTTCATGCTCTACTAAAGTCAATGTGCACTATATTTACATAAACAATTGAAGGGAACTACATGTATAAAGTCAATATGAAAGGGAAATAGATTGAAAAATTAGCCTTTTGGAGCCATCTACAGGACATGTACATGTACATGTACATGTATGATGATTAGTGTGCAATCATGTACAGTTACGATTGTAGTTGTGCTGATCACTCCAACTATTTTGAAGCAAAATAAAAAGCCCCCTCCCCCCTTGGCGGCTTCTGATCTGATCTTGCATGTGTGCCTTGGGTTCTGGTACTTCTGTACGACAGGTACTTGAAATAGCTGTCAAAAGCCCAGAAAGTCGTTATTCAAGCAGTGAATATGACTTCGGGGCACTAAAATCATGTCGCTATTCGCGAATTGTCGTTATTCAGATAGTCGTTATATCCGAAGTTAAATGTATACAGTTAGATGGGACTTTGCTCTGGGCACGGAAATTCTGTCGTTATTCGCGAATTGTCGTTATATCCGCAGTCGTTATTCGCGAATTGTCGTTATATCCGCAGTCGTTATTCGCGAATTGTCGTTATATCCGCAGTCGTTATTCGCGAATTGTCGTTATATCCGCAGTCGTTATTCGCGAATTGTCGTTATATCCGCAGTCGTTATTCGCGAATTGTCGTTATATCCGCAGTCGTTATTCGCGAATTGTC